GCTGCCCAGGAGACTTCCGCCTCTGGCTGGTCGTAGCCGCGCGGGCGGCCGCTGAGTGACACTGTACTCGGAGGAGCTATTTTCGATGCTGCATTTTTAGGATCAGCACCTGTGTTCCCAGCCAGGACTAGTCCTCAGTCATTTAGACCCTGGTGACAGGGACTCAATTCACTTCCGAGGCTGTTTTGGTGGGGAAACCCATTGTGCTGGCTGCAGAGAAACACAGGGCTGGCCTCTGGGTAAAGAGGGGAGGACACAGCCTGCCCCTTTGGGAATCTCTGCATTCCTAGAAGGACCATCCTAGGATTTGCAGAATTCTCCTCTGCCTCCCGAGCAAAAGGGGACGTCTTTCTCAGTCAGCACCAGGCTGCTGAGTGCAGCCGCCAGAGGGCAGTTTAATTCCACATTGTAAAGCAAAGTGTCCCATATTCCCCGTCAGACCAGCTAGCCCCAAACTCCCGGGGTGCAGAGGAATTCAGGTCCCCCCCGGGGGTGCCGTTCTCTAGCAGAGCGTGGCCTGCAGAACTCATATGAACTTCAACACCCTGAGTAACCGCCCCTCGCCCCCTCCAACACACGTTCTTACCAGCTGCTCTGCAAACTGATCCCTTCCTGTGCCAAGCAACGCAGGGGACTGAACCCGGGAGCCTGATTAACAACCAGAAACTCAGACCTGGACACACCCAAACCTGGGGGAAGCTCGGATCTGGAGCCCAGCTTTGTGCATGGGGTTGTCTCATGAACTCAAGTCAGGCTTAGATTTTTAGAGCACAAGAGGGCACCCACGAGGCGAAAGAAGCCACCCGGGTCACTGATCGGCACTGCCCGACCCACGAACTGACCTATTGTTTTAAGAACCAACAACGCCTGACTTATGGGTTGGACTCTTGGGGCCCTTCTGGGCATCTTTGCCTGGGCATCTCCATATAAAGGCCCTCCCCCTTCAAGTGTAACAGAGGCGGTAAGGTAAGCTAAGATGTCCGAGCACCCAGCACCAGGCCAACACCCTAAGGCAGGCATAGAGGGTTGGCTCTTGCATGGTACTTACAGACACTGGGGTCAGGCTGTGCCATCGTGCTCCCCGCTGCTGTTGTGATGCTCACTGTAGTTTCAGTTTCGCCGGATGCTGTCTCCCATTCTGTTACGGTTCTGACTACGAAAGAGGGGTCAGAGGCAGTTGCCAGTGTCTGTTTTGCTGCAGTCGTGCCGGTGGTTTCTGCTGTTGAGGGCTCAGCTGGGATAGAGAAAAAGACAGTGGTGAATGTTTGTACTACTACAGCCTGACCCCCTCTCGTCATGGTGGCACTGGGGGTAGTTGGCACAGAGGCAGGCCTGGTGGTCTCTGCTGCGGTACTTGTTTCCGTGGGTGTTGCAGAGGTTGCTATGGCACTGGGAAGGGTGGTGCTGACAGGGGTGGCTGTCGCAGCGTCTGCTGGTACGATGCTGATCACCGTCGTTTCAGTCTCTGCTGGGCGTCTCGTGACAGTGGCATGCGTGGCTGCTGTACTGTCAGCTAGCTCGGTCGTCATGGGGACACCTCTGGATGGCTCTGCTGTACTGAAGGAGCCCACCGTACTCCAGGTCTCCTCTGGGGCCAGGGTCGAGAAGACAGCTGTCGGCATGTCTGCCATGGGGGTGGAACTTGCTGCATTTGTGGTGGGAGCTGCTTGACCAGAAACACCGACTGTCTCTTCTAGTGGAGTGCTGACGGCTGTTGCAGAGGCCGTAGCTGGGCTAATGCCTAGAAGGGAAACTGAGGCCTGGGTGGGCCCACCTCCGGCATGGCCAGGTGTGAGTGTTTCCACTATGATAATGGTGCCCACTGTTTGCTGTGTCTCATCTGGGCTGTTGGTCACAAGACGAGTGAGAAACACGACTGTCTCTGCAGTAGTGGCTGTATCTGTGATTCCAGTTGGCTCGCCTGGGGCGTGCGCTGCAGAGGTGGTGCCTGGCATCGCCGGACTTTGGGCAGCTGTCGGGGGTGGGGTGGCGGTCGCAGTATTTACGATCACCTCCGTCGCTGGAGAAGCTGAGTGAATAAAAACAACAGGAGACGTGAGTGTATGTGCGTGGGGGGGTGAAATTTACACCAACACCATAGGTCATAACGCTTGGCTTCTGTCACTCTCCAGGCCCCAGGAGGCTCCGCGGGGCTGGGCAGAAGTTGGAGGATTTCTGGGTGCAGGTGTCTGTGAGAACAGGACTGTGATGGATGCTACTAGACGGGGACGGGCGGGGAACACTTTGGACTCAGACTCGTGGGTGTCCCAAGCGAAGGGCCGAGGAGCCCAGGCCGGAGGTCCAGACAGTATTATGATCTACGCAAAAGAATTAATGGACACAAATCTGACATCAGGAATCATAATACTCAAAAACCAGTGGGAGAACACTTTAACCTGTCTGGCCATTCAATGTCAGACCTGCGGGTGGCTATATTACAACAGAAAAACTTCAAAAACAGACTCCAACGAGAGACTGCTGAGCTGGAATTGATATGCAAACTAGATACAATCAATTTAGGATTGAATAAGGACTGGGAATGGCTGAGCCATTACAAACGTTGACTCTATCTCCCCTTGTAAGTATTCTCACACTTCTTATC